CCCATTGAGCATCTCTGGAGAGACCTGAAAATGGCTGTCCACCAACGTTTACCATCCAACCTGACAGCACTGGAGAGGATCTGCAAGGAGGAATGGCAGAGGATCCCCAAATGCAGGTGTGAACTTGTTGCATCATTCCCAAAAAGACTCATGGCTGTATTAGCTCAAAAGGGTGCTTCTACTAAATACTGAGCAAAGGGTCTGAATACTTATGACCATGTGATATTTCAGTTTTTCTTTTTTAATAAATCTGCAAAAATGTCAAAAATTCTGTGTTTTTCTGTCAATATGGGGTGCTGTGTGTACATTAATGAGGAAAAAATGAACTTAAATGATTTTAGCATATGGCTGCAATATAACAAAGAGTGAAAAATTTAAGGGGGTCTGAATACTTTCCGTACCCACTGTATACTGCATGAGTTGAGATGCATTACTAGAAAGAGGGAATACATGAAAGATTGGTAGAAAATTTGAAAAATAACTAACTTGCAACACTTGAGTGTGTAGGGTCTTGTCTGAACTGGTTTTTCTGTGAGTTGGATTTTCTGAAAATATAATACCCTATACCTGATGGTAAAGAGACAAATGTTAGCATCACCATCTTGGCATGTTGTAGTGTAATGAAAAAACCTGACACACAATTACCGTTCAGTGCAACTATAATTGCTGCTCCCAGTACACTTAGGGCTTGTGGGTGCATGACCAGAAAGGCTGCCTGCAGGCTGTATGTGAAGGGAACCCAGGCCAGGTCTCCAAAGACCAGCATGAAGCCAAAACCATCATGCACAATGTCCATGGTAGTCAGTATAGCCTCCTGTCAGATAAAATATACAAAGGTGCAACACTGAAGCACTCTCAAGCTTTGGTGCCCTAATTTTTAAATGGCTGCTGAACTAAAATGAAACCTCCCCTCACCTCATTCCATAACGCATCTGCCACATACAGCAGCTGGAAACTGTTGACCAGTATCATGCTGAGGGAGGGGGAACCTCGAATCTCCACTTCTCTCATCAACATGCCAAGGTTTATAACCACCTGAGAGAAAAACAGGGGAAGTGAATAATGATTAACATGAACAGTTAGGCAGTCTTTCACCTGCACTCCCCATGTATTGCTAGACTCAGCCTTTGATCAAAAACCAGCATGTCAGGTGAAACGTACCTGTCACAGTGGAGGAGTTTATGAAGGTTGCCATTAGGCTTATAACTAACAACTACTTTATTATTGATTAATTTGCTGATTATTTTCTCAATTATTTTGTTTGCTTGGTCTGTTTATGATCATAGAGGTCAGCGAAAACCAGAAAGCAGTACATTTTTTTTAATCCTAAAAACCAGTAAATTTATTATCAGCAGAGTTGCTTATCAATTTTCTGCCAAATGACTAAACAGCTATATTTTCTCCTTCAAAGTGGTACATGATCAAAACCCAGGTGCTGAAGCTGCATTACATTTTCTCAAAACCTTTTTCAACTAGAAATTGTTTTAAATCAACATTACTTTCTGACATTGGTCTAAATGTCCCTATTTCAGAATCATCAAAACAGTGACCGTGCTACATTACACATCATATAATCAGAATTTTCATGCAATCTGTTCATGAATTTAGCATTCATAAAAACACTTAGAACATGCATTTGGGACATTATCAGCAACTGTAAGATGCTGAATATTAAAAGAGAATAGTTTTAACATTGAGCAGGAAACAGAAATCTCCTACACACTGTCTGTAGCAGGTTGGTGGAAGCTTTTTCTGTCCTCTCCTACGCACATGGCTTTAAATCATTCTGATGTGCAAAGGTTTACTGTAAATACAGAGAAGGGAAAATACTCACAATACAGGACTCATTACAATGCTTTCTGTCTGTTGTTTTTATGACTAGTGAAAATATCAAGAACCTTGTTGTAATTTTTTGGAATTTTTATTTGCAGCTCTCACTGGAAATCTCTATTTGTCTTATTTGGCCAGACACAGATGGTGCAGTGTTGTCCTCCAACAAATCTCTCACTGTGTCAGGTCACCTGGGAGACAAGTTTCTGATTCTGTGTCAAACTCACAGACTGCAAATCATTTTGGATGATTGGAGAACATTGCCACCTGTTGGCCATGTCAGCTTCTCAAGAAAAAAATCATCATCATTGCTAAATAATGTATTCAATAAGCATTCTAAACTATTCAAGAGACTTACAACTAAAGTGAAGGAGCATAAAAGTTGTTTTAAAATTTATGACACATAAGATCTATTATAGACGTATCATCTCTGAGTTTATATAAACACTTTAAACAAATGGTTTTTGACACAATCACAAACATGGAAAATTACAGCCTTGATTTGGTTGTGGTACTTTTTGTAGTTTTTAGTGTTTGAGTATATAGTTTTCTGTTGTGTGAAAAAAGCAACCAGGGTTCAATACATTTTTTGAAATTAAAATGGAAATGTACCAAAGGAAATTCAAAATGAAATTAAAAAACCTGCTACTGGCATTTGGTCAATGATAGTTTCCTAGTTTTGATTTCACCATATGAACCGTTTAACATCATTTTTTCAGTCCCTAGAAATGGGTTTAAAAGAACTGTTCACTTGTGCTGGTCAACTCACCCAACCACTCAGACCCGGTCTGAGCTCACAGAAATATTTAAGGTCAAAGTTTCCAATCCGGGGGTTTAGCTCCCTTCCAATGAAGAAATCATACAGGGGACTTCCTAGGCAGAACACAAGGATCAATACATAAATACTCCAAAACACAACAACACATTATTAAGTGCCTTTAGTATCTATGGGTGCATATTGTGAATAAAAATGTGATTTAGTGCTCAAGGGTTGAAAAGTAGTAGACACTTGGCTACAAAATGTTTCTGGGGAAGCTGGATGCTGTTTCAACTTTAGTTCATGTACAAAGGAGCGCACACAAGGCACAGATTTTGACTGAGTGTTGCCATTTAAATTGAGGTGGAGTTGTCTGTCAGTATGAGAAGTAAAGAGGTGCCATGGAATTGAAGGAGATAATAATAATAAGGCTCCAAAACACAAAAATTTATCAGAGAGATCTCAAAGTCAACAGTTGAGTACACTCTATGAAGATCCATTCAGGAAATCCAGAAAATGACCTGGTAGACTGCAAAGTACAGTTCTAGTGGATGATCAGAAAATCAGAGTCAAACATGATCTCTGGGATGTTTCCCAGTCAACGGTCTGTTCATGACCAGAACCTCTGAGGTTTCACAACAAGATATAAACCCCTGGATAAAGATCACAAAGGCCAAGTTGCAGTTCAAAAACACACATGAAAACAAAGTGGTAGAGTTGTGGAAGAAAGTTTTGTGGACTGAAGAAACAAAAATCAACATATTTGAACAATATTTGAAACATATTAAAGCCCCAAACACTGCTTGAGGTTTCTGGCAGAGATGTTCACTCAGTAATTGACTACCATGAACCTGCAAAGAGTTCCCTGCAGACCTCCTTCTTACATGTCATTAATTCAGGACAAGGCCCCAAATCCTCACGAACAATAACAACCTGGAGTTATAGGCAGCTACCTCCTTATACCTTCAGATGCTACTCTACTGAGAAGTTTTAAGAACCAGTATACTCTGGCTCTTTGAGGAAGTGTTGAATTATGTCTGAAATAACCCATAAAAGCTATGGCACTGGCCACTTATGACCATGTTTGCATTGCACAGTATTTAGCTGACATTGGTTATTTTCTTCATTCTCTTCTTCCCAAAGGTCTGCCGTTTCATCCTCCATCATTCCAGGTGTGATGGGGGAATACAAGTTTACCATCAGCTCCTCCATATACACTTCTTCCTGCACCAGAATAGTTTTTGTCACTAGTGTGCTTTCCTTCGAGTCAAGTAACACTTTTACATCTTTTTCTGACTTGTCTGTTGTCTTTTTGGACTCTGCCTCCTTAAACAGTGGGCATTCTAGCATTTCTTGCAAATACTCGTTATTCCTGTGGGACTTCTGTTTAACGACAGAGACAATCTGTTCAATGATCTCTTGCAGCTCCTCCTGTAAGGTCATTTCTGATGCCAGACAGATGCACCAAAACCCACTGGACAACATTTCATCATTCAGCAGATCAATCATTCTAAACATACAGCCACAGCAACCAGAGAGTGAAGAGGTGGAACATCCTCAACTGGCTGAGTCAGTCTCCTGATCTCAGTCTGATTGAGCTGCTGAAGACCAGACTAAGAACACAGGAGTGTACAGTATATGGATGTTCCACAAGCAGGAGCTGAAGGTGGCTGGGAGAGCATCACTTGGAAGATGCAAAGTGCCTGGTGATGTCAGTGGATCCAGGATTTCAGGCACTGAGTGCAAAGGATTTTGTACAAAATGTTAAATATGATGATTTTCTTTAACCTCTATCCACTGCTGTCCACTTTTTGAATCCCAAAACTCTGGATATTATGTGTTAAATGGATTATATCTCCCATATAGTTCTTTCTATATTGATGTAAACCTACTCAAATTAAATCTCTGACTTAGAACTTTAATGTAGTGTCCAATATTTTATTTCAAATTAAATGTGCTGAAACACAAAGCATGAGGAACTGTAGGAAGTGAAACGTATATTTGTTTATATTGGGAAATAAAAGTATACTTAATTCACTATTGGCAGATCATTTTTGCTATGTACCACTGGGTGTACTGATAATTAACAATGATTGTACTTGAATACTCCAGAAAACTGTGAAAATGTGAGGCCATTGTGTCTGTATGTTCAGATTTTATGAAGTTACAAAATTGTGAGAATCAGGCCTCAAGTGTTTGAAGTCCCCCAAATTATTGTTTTTCAAAGAAAATGTTTAGGCTGCTTTTTGGGGCATTTTATCGCCTCACAAACTGGGCGTACCATACAGCTTACTTGAAAGAGACTGTTCACTTTATGACTGATGCCTGCAGGCTGCTGTAGAGTTTGGCTGTAAGATAATTACCCACTACTAAAATACTAAAATCCTCCAATGAAAAACTAGTTCTTCATTTAATGTGAAACCTCCACTCTCACCTGTGTTTCCCCCCAAAGCAAGAGCATCAGGAGGAGCCCAGAAGGAGCGCATGTAGAGGTAGACAGAGAATAGAAATGACAATGCTATTGCACACACTGCCAGAGGCAACAGCAGCTCAAACAGATACCCCAGAGGAGCTCCGAGCCCCAATAACATCATCAACAGCACACCGCTGATGCATAGGCCATGAAAGCCTGAGGGAGAGAAACAAACAGAAGTAAATGTTATTGCCCGGACTGGTGAAATAAGATGACTGATAGAGGTACCTCCAGATTGTGCCACTTAACTTTAGCTCAAGGTCAGACCAGTCAGAAAGTAGGCGTAGAGGCTTAACTACATGAACATGACTTTTGGGTCACAGCAGGTAATTTCTACAGTGAAATTTTACAAACGTGAAGAAAGAATTTGCACTCAAAATCTGTGCAAAACTGAACAGCTTATCATAATATCATTTAGTCAGTGTGGACACAATCTTAAAAAGAAATTATTCTTTAAAAAAAATCTGCTATGTATTGTAGCTGTCATGTTTCACTAATCAGTATTATGAAAGCATATTGCTGTCCCCTCCAAACCCATCAATACCATTTATTGGATACTTGAGGCGCGTTCCATCACTCAGCACTAAACCTTCAGATACCTGCAAGGAAATAAACTCAGGTTGAATCTGAATAAAACGCATACATTGTCTCTGTATATATTAATCACTGGAACAGAGCCACGGGCTTGGTGAGAACATGTACTATTTTGTTTAGTTATTTCTATTATTATTTTACCAATATATGAATCCACTACAGTAATAAAATATATGCAAAATGAAATGATCAAATTGATGTTTGCCATTAACTGTGTTCTACTATTATTTAACAGAAAAAACCCTGCAAATTTAAAAATAAAAAACTATTATTATTGACATGTTTATCACCGCAGCTGGTCAAATTTAACCTTAAACCATGCTGATGAACATGTTATACCTTTCCTAATGGCATCTTATAGAGGAGGGCATGCACAGCGATCCAGCCCAGCACAAGCACAGGGGCCAGCAGGTCCCACAGCCGGGCAGTGGTGGGGAGGGGAGGAGGCCACTGGAGCACACTGGCCTCAGGAGATTGACTCACACAGATCAGGAATAGCACAGTCAGCGGAAGGAAGATGGGAATGCATATGGCACCTAAGAGACAAATACAAAAATGTCTCACATCTGACTAGTGAGACTATCTAACGTACTGTACTGCATTGTAATGTACGTATTGCAAATGTATACCAATAAATAATTAAAGCATGACATCATGTAGTAGTAAAACAGATTAGTATGGGTGCAATATACTTGTGGTTTAGTTCAACACCATCAGATCTGAAGTCTGTGGGGAGCTTCACTATTGTTCAAAACATGGCTTTACTTTAACAACTGGAAAGCAAATTGGATCAATTAAAGAACCACAGCAGATAATGAAGCACCACCAGTGTGCTCACACAAACACACACACAAACTTGCACATATACAGAAGCTATTAGGTTTTTGTGCTTTCATTTCATGTCAAGTCTACAATGACAAATGTGACTTGGTGGTTGTGATGATTCTCTATTAGGACTGCAATAAACAGTCCTGTGGAGTTCATGCTGTGATCTTCACTGCAATTCATCATCTTATTATTGAAGCTGCTATCTTATGATTAGTCAAAAAGACACACCTGGTGTCAGCAACTTTGGAAAACAACAAATGTCTTAATGTATCACAATTAGTAAATTAGTGTAAATATGATCTTTTAGCTATTAACATCAATATCATGTATTGCTTCCTTTTATAAAATGAACTTTTACTGTGTTCTCTAAATACATGCAACTCTAACATGTTTCACTTGAAGTTTATCTTTGATTTACAGTAGTTACAAAAAGCAGCGCTTCCCTATAAGAAACACAAAGTAATAAAAATATAACTGCCTTTCACCATTTGTGAGCAAATGACAAGTGCATGACCAGAATGAAAGAAAAAGTTCATTTATTTTGTGCAGCAAATGTGATGGCTATGCAAGTTTGATACACAATGGTGGCCATGCTAAAGGCAAAATGGAAATGGAAACATCCTGATGCAGGCTCCATAAGACAGCTCACTATTACTCACCCAGGGTTCCTCCAAATTCCTTCTCTGTGTCATGTAAGGATCTGTGTTTGAGTGTTTGACTGTTCGACTTCATTCCTGTTCTCCTGTAAAAAATATCAGGGTTGACATATTTCAGACAAAATACAGATATTTAGGGAACAAATAAATAGTGACAATTAGATGATAAAACCAATTAGTTAAACCTGACAGGAGGAATGCCACGTAATGGAGCCTTTGGATGATGTTGAGCCTGTAACAAAAGCCATAATACACTTTGTAGAATGAACTTTATCAGTAAGAAAAATCCTTAGAAGAATCTGCAGTCACATTTATAGCAAACTCTGACTCTTATATAGTATATAGCATCCAGTGCTTCTAGGATATAAATGGTGCCAGTGTAACTTTTAACCTCAGCACAATGTAAGTCTAATTACAGATGAATAAATCCTTTCTACGAGAAGCAGTGCAAAGCCATTAACAAGCATTTGTACTTAGGTACAACCTTGACATATCTGTACTTTACTTACAGTATTTCCAATTTTTGCTATAGGTACCATATACTTTTAATTCGACTACATAACATCTTACGTCATCAGTAACTGATTTTAAATGCTGCACAAAATACTATGATCATCATGGTGTATTAGATTCAGGGGCCCTAAATACACATGCAGGTGCTTTCAATCACTGTGGCTAATTAGACCTCCTCAGATTAGAGATTAAATGAAAAGTCACCAAACTGCGTTTACTCATAACAATGATGAAGATACAACAGGAGAATAAGAGCGACACCAACTGACCCAGTTCATCAAATCCAGTCGTTCAAACTAGCTTCACTCCAGCAGCTCCATACCTTTGGATACATCAGTAATAATCTACTGATGTTAATGTAATATAGTTAGAACTTTGAAAGTTTTAGGTAAAGTTATTGGAAATACTTCTGCCACTTTAGAAGAATTTAAAATTGAAGACATTTACTTGTTGCAGTATTTTATATAATAGTATTTCTTCTTTTACTTAAAATATCTGAGTAGCCTACTTCTTCCACCACTGGTCAAAGGAAAAACTACCCTGCATATATTAAAATGATATTAAGGAAGTTTTTTAAACATTTGCTATTACGTTGTAACGTCGTGTTGTACCGCTGCCATAGTACATAACCGAGTCATCGTGCACACGTCAAGCTGCTGTGTCCATACTGTGACAGGTCTGTTATGAAACATGATATAAAGGTGGTTTGTCATGTTCTTTTACCTGGTAATGCGAAATTTAACTGAACACGGGAGAAATAAAAGCGTTGCAGTAAAATACGGTTCTGTACAGTTGCAAGGTGTTAGTCTTGAAATACGTTAGATATAGAGTCTTACCAGCGTAAAACACGAGGGTGGACTCCGTAAGGATTAATGTAATTAATTTAACTCTGTTGCATCCATCCAGTGATCCGCACATGGAAACGCCCCCGACCCACTTTTGTTTTTTAGCAGGACGTAATCTCTCGACCAATCAGATCCATCAGCGGTCATCAGTAGAGGGTGGGGAGAAAAGGTTCCAGCTAATCAAACGAGCTCTTCAGGTGGCGACAGTCAGCTATACACGACAGGGAAGGACGATGGTCGCAAGATGTTGTGAAATACACCTGAATTACACTGTTGAAGTTAAAAGGCATTTACAAGCTATCAACACGGAAACTACCACTGAAATATTCTATCAAGGGTGGAAGTAAATCTGATGTTTCACCAAATAAAAACAAAATAAAAATACAGTTACAAATAGCTTAAAGGTCCTGCATTGTTCTTCTTCTTCGGCTGTTCCTGTTAGGGGTCACACAGCGAATCATCAGTTCCCACCGAAATGACTAACCGCACGTTAAACTTGGCATGTTTTACGCCGGATGCCCTTCCGGACCTAAGATGCATGTCTTTGGACTGTGGGAGGAAGCTGGAGTACCCGGAGAGAACATGCAAACCCCGCACAGAAAGGCACCAGGTCGGGGCTCGAACCTGGAACCTTCTTGCTGTGGGGCAACAGCGATAACCACCGTGCCGCCCAAAAGTACTGCCTGGTTGCTTCTGAATTTCTCACCACGCTCAATAAAGTTTTATGAATATACTGTTTTATTCATCTGATTCTGAAAAGTTGATAGCGACTAAAGTAACCAAATAAATGTTGTGGAGTAAAAAGTACATTTGCCTCTGAAATGAAGTCAAATAAAGTAACCAATCTAGAAACTGTACTCAAGTACAGTACTTGAGTTAATGTACTTGTATACTTTCCACCACTGCTGCCTGTGTTATGTTTGACCGTTTCAGCACAACTCCTCTGGTTTTGTAAAGGAAGAAGCACATTTTGACTGTGACATTTGCGTGTATTTATTGAAGACATTTAAACCATTCCTACAGACACAGTAAGACATGCACAGAAAACAGACATGCTACAAGTCTGTTGCAGTTACCTTAGTGTTAGACATGAATTGCATAATGAGACAATTTAGTAATACATGAGATTTCCACTAGAGACAACTTTTCTCTTTAGTCATTCATGTTCCTTATTCAGATTAAACATATTTACGTCAAGGGGAACACATGCTAAAGGGTTTAGCTTGTATCATGTATAAATAATGTTGTCTTCCTCTCTTTGATGATAGGGCATCCAGTGTATTCATTGCTGTTTAGTTAACTTATGACAGGAGTACTGAGATGAATCTAATAAAAAAAATGGATATTTAACAGTAACTGGGTAACAGAAGAGTGTTTAAACTGGATGCACTACTCCAGCATTTACGGTAATTCTGTCTGTATCTGTGATACTGTGCTTTGTGTGGACCACCTGCCTGTGCTGCACTCTGAGCATTAACCTCGTTCACAGATTACCTCAATCACACTCTGCTCCATAGGTGCAGGATCCAGGCAGCGGTGGGCAGAGCTCCCCACTATCTCATCCAGCATGAAGTGGACGAGGTTCTCATCGGAAACAAAGCGCCACAAGTACATCTGCAAGTAGTGGCAGTCAACCTGGATCTGCTGCAGCCCATAGCGTCCAAAAGTGCGCAGGCGGACACACTCCAGGAATGTCTTTAAACTGATTTTTATGATTCCTGTAATCACAGAGACCTGGGACAGTGGAGGTGGATGTGAGAGAGGTCTCTAGACTATAATCAATATTTAACAGCATGACAAAGATCTGCACTCACTTTGTTAAACTCCACTGAGCTGAAGATGTCAATCCTCTCAGAAAACAGCTTGTGTATGTTACTTAGTAGATTGGTATCCATGGGAGCACTGAGGGAGACAAATCAGTAAATTAACAATTTAAGTATTAACCTTATTCTTATGATTAAAGACTCCTCAATTAACAATACCCCCTGCAATGAATGTGAAGGAGATAATACAGATTAGCTGCCCATGCCCGTTTATATGCCTGTCACTATACACTGTATTTTAATAAGCCACATCATTGGACTTTATGCCCTGAATTAATTTCTTATAAAACAAACTGTAGATCATCTGATATTAAAATGTTTAATTATCCTGGATGTTGTGGCAAAACCTCTGCCCCACTGTAACTCTGCATTAGTCAATCTGTCATATCAACAGAGCTCTAAACCTTCATGTACACATATTCAGCTAAAAAACAGTTTCAGCCACAAAAAGGACATTTACACATTGGAAACTTTGGACTTGTACAATAAAAACATATGTTTGGGCTTCTATATATTATTAAATTAAGGCTTAATACACAGTAATAAAGAGGAAACCATAGAATATGTTGGTGCAATAAAAATCAACTTCGTGCTGGTGACAACATAAAGTGAGTGAAGTGACAGAGCTGCCTTTAGATTTAGGAAACTATGCATTGCACATATCAGAGAAATGAGAGTCAAAGTCAAGGTCAGACACATGCAAGTGCAACACAACACAGCAACTAAGTGCAGGACTTCAGTATTTAAAATATGACTCTCAAATAAACAAGGCCGCCAGAGGACTCTTCCCTGTCTCCGTATGCAGCTCATTTACCTGGGAGTGTAGCTGGCAGCATAGCGAGCTTGCTGCCTGGAGCTGCTATAGACAGAGAACGTCCTTTTGCTGGAGTCGCTGCTGTGCGCTTTCCTCACACCTTCTTCATATAAAAGACCCACCTATGGTAGAATACACACTATTCATAAGAGATCCTGTTTGCACATGCTGTTGAGAACACAATGTCAGGTCTTGAAGACATAACACATGTAACAACACTGCGATCATCCAAAGTGTCACCTGCACATCAATTGAGGTGGTGTCCTCTACTACTCTCTTCATCACAGCACGGACATTTCGT